TCGTTTCGTCTTTATGTTTCGTTTATTAAATCTTAATTCATCATCTTCTTTAGTCGCTGTTGCTTCCAGCAATCTCGTGTTTTCGATATATATAGTTCCTTGGAAAAGGAAAAATGAAAACTTTTTTTTTTTCTCTGTAATTTTGCCCATTTGATCTTTCTGATATTCATATGAAAAGCTTTCACAAGTAAGATTTTTTTTTACCCTTTGATTAATTTTCTTCCCAAAGCTTGTTGAAGATTCTTCCTTTGATGTCTCTGTTATTGCGCTTCTGCTTTCGTTAATTTGTTCCGTTCGTGAAGTCTGCAAAATCCAATTTCTAAGAACTCAATTCTGTTGAACACCTGTTCCTAATTTTGTTTATGAGTTTAAAAAGAGTGCCTTTTTTCCCATTTTCGTTCATTCTTGATTGTACTTTGTTTAGTGATTACATTTGGTGATTAACTAGTTTCTGGTTGATGCATCCTTAAAAGATTTCTCCTGTTTTCTGCTGTATAGTTTTTGGGTGAATGCAAGTGTACTTAAAAGCAGAAACTATGCATTAAGCTTTGTTTGGTCTTCTTTCTCCAGGAAAATCCAGTATTTATCATTCTTTCATATAAGGACCAAAGTGATATTTAGCATTTTGGTACACAATCACACTGCAAAGGTTTGTTTTTTTTTGCATTATCAAAGCAATTTAAATCTGATGTAACTTCGATTTTTGAGTTGCTTAGAAGGCTACATTGTTTCAGTTTTGTAGAATTCTTTAGTTTCTAAGGGATCAAGCAGTTAATTTTGGAGCGGACCCAACTCGTTCTTCTGCTTCTTTTCAACAGCTGTTATGGCCAATACGTTGCAATCAGAGTCCACGCGGTTGTACTCGTGGTGGTGGGATAGTCACATTCCCAAGAACTCAAAATGGATTCAGGATAATCTTGCAGGTCTCCTATATATCTTCTTGATTTCTCCTTTTGTGTATTTTCTGAGTCATGGAGATTGTGTAATGCTAGTATCTTTGGTTTGTGTGTGTTCAAGTAGATTTTGTTGAACGTGAAACATTTGTTTTTTTTGAAACCAGATATGGATTCCAAAGTGAAGACAATGATAAAGCTCATCGAAGCAGATGCAGATTCGTTTGCAAGAAGAGCAGAAATGTACTACAAGAAACGTCCAGAGCTAATGAAACTGGTGGAAGAGCTATACAGAGCTTACCGTGCTTTAGCTGAGAGGTATGATCACACAACAGTGCAGCTTCGTCATGCGCATAAAACCATGGTTGAGGCGTTTCCTAATCAGATTCCTTTCGGCATGGTTGAGGATTCTGCATCTTCTTCTTCTGAGCCAGACCTGCAAAAGGATGGTGCTACAAGTAAAAGGAGTTCAAGTCGGCTAGAAATACTATACGGAACTTCTGATGCTCACGAAGCAGATACCGAAGTTGAAGGCTTAAAGAGAACATTGCTTGAGCTTCAGACTGAAAAGGAAGCTTTGGATCTCCAATATCAGCTAACCTTGAAGAAACTATCCATATTCGAAAAGGAACTCAACGATGCTCAAGAGGATGTTAGAGGATTTGATGAACGTGCTTGCAAAGCTGAGATTGAGGTTAAAGTACTCAAGGAATCTCTTGCAAAACTAGAGAATGAGAGGGATACAGGGCTTCTTCAGTATAGTCAATCCATGGAGAGAATAGCGGATTTGGAAGCATCGGTTTCTCATGAGCAAGATTACGCGAAGGGGCTCAGTAACCGAGCATCTAAAGCAGAAAGAGAAGCCAGTAGTCTCAAGCAAGAGGTTTCTAGATTGCAATCTGAGAAGGAGGCTGGCTTGGTCCGATACAATAAATGCATTGAGTTGATATCTGCTTTAGAGAAGAGAATTAGAGATGCTGAGGAGAGTGTTATAATGTTCAGGGACAGATCCGAGCAAGCAGAAAACGAAATCAATGCTTTGAAAGAAGAACTTCTGAAGTTGAATGAAGTGAATGGAGACTTGAGTGTTCGTTATCAGCAGTGTTTGGAGCTGATATCAAATCTAGAGAGAGAAGTTTCTCATGCTCAAGAAAATGCCAAAAGGCTGAGCAGTGAAGTTCTTGTTGGAGCTGCAAAGGTAAAACTGTGGAGGAACAATGCACTCTTTTGGAGAGCTTGAATCAAAATCTGAAGGTAGAAGCAGAGAATCTAGCGCACAAAATGTCAGCTAAAGATCAAGAACTTGTCCAGAAGCAAAACGAGCTTGAAAAGCTTCAAGCTTTAATGCAAGAAGACACTTGCGGTTTTCAGAACTCGGAGCTAGCCTTAAGAATCTGGAGAGGTTGCATTCTCAATCCCAAGAGGAGCAGAAGCTTATCACTTTGGAACTTCAAAGCAGGATTCAAATGTTGAGAGAGCTGGAGATGCGGAATCATAAGTTGGAAGGTGACATCAGCTCAGTTGAAGAACAAAACCGAAACTTGACCGAGTTGAACGAATCTTCTACGATCACCTTGCAGATTCAGAAAAATGAGATCTCTTGCTTGAAGAAGATGAAAGAAAAGCTCGAGGAAGAACTTGCAAAACAGATGAACCAGAGCAGTGCCCTTCAAGTAGAGATCCACCGTGTGAAGGACAATATTGACAACTTGAATTGGAGATATCAAAAGTTAATTGACCAAGTGAGACTCACAGGTTTGGATCCCGGATCACTTGTTTATTCTGTCAAGAAACTACAGGAAGAGAACTCGAAGCTTCTCGAGTTATGCATCAAACAGAGAGATGAGAAAGACGCTGTTACAGGAAAGCTGTGTGAAATGGATAACACTTTAAGGAAGAATGCTGATTTGGAGAAATTGCTTTTGGAATCAAACACCAAACTAGACGGTTCCAGGGAGAAAGTAGAGGATCTGCAAGAAAGATGTGAGTCTTTACGAGGAGAGAAATCTGAGCTTGCTGTCGAGAGAGCTAACCTGTTTTCCCAGTTGCAAAACATGACTGTGAATATGCAGAAGCTCTTGGAAAAGAACTCTCTATTGGAGAGATCCCTTTCAGTTGCAAACATTGAGCTTGAAAGTCTAAGAGATAAGTCAAAGTGCTTTGAAGATTTCTTCATGTTGCTCAAGAATGAGAAGTCTGAACTTATAAAGGAAAAAAAAGCTCTTGTCTCTCAATTGTATGAGGTTAAGGAGAAGCTAGGAGTCTTGGAGAAGAATTTTACAGAGGTGGAAGTAAGATACGCCGGTTTACAGAGCGAAACGAAGCTCAAAAACTTTCAAGTAGAAGAGTTACAGGTCTCACTTGCCACTGAGAAGCAGGAGCGTGATGATTACAAACGATCGACTGAAAGCAGATTAGCAGATCTTCAGAAGAATGTGAGCTTTCTTCGAGAAGAGTGTCAATCAAGGAAAAGAGAGTTTGAGGAAGAGCTTGACAGAGTTGTAAACAAACAAGTCGAGATCTTCATCTTGCAAAAGCTTATAGAAGACTTGGAGAAGAAGAATTTCTCTCTCCTGATTGAATGTCAGAAGTATGTAGAAGCATCAGAGTTTTCGGAGAAACTCATATCTGAACTGGAAAGTGAGAATCTCGAGCAGCAGATGGAAGCAGAGATCTTTTTGGATGAGATTGATAGCTTGAGGGGTACAATCTATCAAGTGTTAAAGGCACTTCAAGTTGAAGCAGATTGTAAGACTTCAGAACAGAAGATTACGAAAGACCAAACTTCACGTGTTTTAAGAGAGATTAATGGCCTAAAATGTTCACTTGCAAGCGCTGAATATGAGACGCAGCGTCTTGTAGTTGAGAACTCGGTGCTCTTAGCTCTACTTGGACAGTTCCAATCAGATAGTTTGGTGGTGGAATCAGAGAAAAACATCCTCAAAACAGATTTGAAGACTATAATACAGCAACGTGGAATGCTGGAAAAGGACAAGGAAGAGCTATTAGAGGCGAACCGGTTGTTGAAATCAAAACTGATCAAAAGAGAGCAACAGGAGCAAGAGCTAAGAGCAGAATTGCAAACGGAGCATACAAAGTTTGAGAGTTTGCATGAGTCATACATGGCTTTGCAACAAGATTATTCCTCTACACTGAACGATAACAAAACTTTGCTTCAAAAATTCTCTAAACTTCAAGATGGAGTGTGTATAGTTGAGGAAGAAAACAGTGCAATTCTTCAGGAAGCTGTTTCTTTGAGTACCATGTGTGTGGTTTACAAGTCCTTTGGGTCTGAAATGGCTGAGGAGGTCGAAGCTTTTGATGAAACTGTGAGAAGTTTACGAGAAGTTAGTACGGGCCTAAAGCACAAGGTTGAGACACTTGAGGAGAAGTTAAAAGATAAAGAGGAAGAGGGTCAAGGTCTTAACAAGATGCTGGAGAAGTTACAGGAAGGTCTTGAAGAAGACAACTTCTTAAATGGGCTCTTGGAACATCAGGTTTTCAATGTAGACGAAATCTTGGAACATAGGGAAATGGAGATCCTTGAAGCAGAGCATATGCTCAAGGCTACACAGGATGCAAATGAAGAACTGCACAAAGAAGTTGAGGAGCTAAGGAAAGACTGCGAAGAATCAAGACAAATGAGAGGAGAGTTAGAGAGGCAGATTTTCGAGATTTCAGATCTTGCTGGGAGACAGGAGGAAGAGCTTAGAAGACTTAACACTTTGAATGAGAATTTGGAGTCAGAGGTAGAGTTGTTACACAAAGAAATCCAACAACAACAAGTTCGAGAGGAGTTCTTGAGTTTGGAGCTGCAAGAGAAAAGCAATGAGGTTGGGCTTTGGGATGCTGATGCAACATCGTTCTACTTTGATCTTCAGATCTCAGGTATCCGTGAGCTCTTTCTTGAGGATAAAGTTAACGAACTCACTGGAGTTTGTGAAAATCTCAAAGAAGAAGCTGTTGCGAAGACGAAAAAGATAAAACAGATGAAAGAAACAATTGGGTTTTTGGAGTCTCAAGTGACTGAGCTAAAGACTCAATTGTCAGCTTATGATCCTGTGATAGCATCTTTGGCAGAAGATGTAAAATCTCTTGAAGAAAGTACTCAGGCCTATCAAAAAATAGAGGTAGACCTTCTCACTCTTTCTTCTATTTCAAATCTTAAACTCATCCTCATGAACTAAAACCCTTCCATTTTCCTCAGAACGTCCATCTGGAAGAAGGTGGCAGTACCACCACCACAGACAATGGAATAGTGAATGCGAGGCAAAGAACACGTAGTTCATCCCACAAACGCAGAGAACGCAGAAAGATTGAAGAAATACGGCTTGAGGAAAAAGTCGCTGGTGAATCTAGACAGCCAAGATCGAGGCCTAAGATGAACGAGGTGAAAAACGGATTGTTGATGGAAGATTCACCTCGTGATCAAGTCACAGACTCTGTGTTCTATGGCAGAAGCCAGGGAAGTAGTCTTAGTTCTAATGATCAGATGTTTGAGTCTTTGGAAGAATCTGTTGAATCAGAGACTAGTATAAAGTTTCAAATCAATAGTAACGAACCAAAGAGGCCATATGGCCAAAGCCCGAATCCCTCTATAGAATCTGAGAAAGTGGTTGGAGTTGTTGACAAGCTAGAGTTATCTAGAAACATCGAAGAAAAGGCAAAGATTATGGAGAGACTTTTGTCTGATTCAAGGAGACTGTCAAGTCTCCGGATTAGCCTAACAGATCTGAAAAGCAAGCTGGAGATGAATGAAAAACAAGGCAGATTCAGCAACGCTGATGATTTGGTTATAGTGAAGAGACAGTTGAAAGAAATGGATGAAGCTGTCTGGAAACTGACAAACACAAACGAGATTCTTTCAAAAGAGATTGAGGAGACCGGAGATTCCAGAGATATATACAGAAAGGTGGTTATGGATAAGTCAAGAAACGGTTCTGAGAAGATAGAGCAGCTGCATAATAAAATGCAGAACATTGAGAAAACAGTGCTGAAGCTTGAAGACGGAGGCAAAAGCAAAGGAAACAAAAAGTTGTCCGAGAGTAGGACAGTGATCCTCTTGAGAGACATTATTCACAAGGGCAAGAAAAAAACTGCGAGAAAGAAGAAAAACCGGTTCTGCGGGTGCATAAGATCTTCGACTAAAGAAGAGTAGGGTGGTTCATAAGGTAACAACGACTAGTCTTTTGTAGATTGTAGTAAAGAGAATCATTGAAATGGCTCTAGAAGGATTGTATGGTATGATTTCTGAAATAATGGATGAATTAGCCTAAGATATACTTTAAAATAACCTCTTCTAGTTCAGTGGACAAAAAACTTCAAGAGAAACCTATATATTACAAGAAATGTTTGGTTTTGTTGTGAAGAACATGATGAATTGACATCTTTATTACACAACCACTGGGGACTACAGAACCTAAGTGTGCTAACTTACTACCAACAAGAAGTTGACTTTTATCATTCTCTCACCTTGAAAAAGATTCAAAGAATTTTTCATAGCTACACCACATCAAATGCTTTTCAGTGTTGAGGAGTGAGAGAAGGAAACGATGGAATCGAGTTCAGTATCAGTTTCCGCCCGCCACTTCTTCTCCCTAAGATTGACCCTGGGCTCGATGAGTCCAGATGTGGAGGAGAGACCCTCTTACCATTGGGAGAGACAGCTTTGATTTTATCTATAGAGGAGTGGCTGAGAATCTCAGGCATTTCTGCAACTCCATCTTCTGTGACTGTCTCGAATGACTTCTTAGTCCTGGACTGAATCAAACTAATGTCCTGTTTTCTTAAGTATTGACTGTTAAATATCCCTGAGGAAGAAGATCCACCTCCAAGAAGAGACTGTGGAGGAGGCATCATGTTCTTGGATGATGAGAAAGGTAGTTGAACCAGTTGTTGTCTGAAAAGAACAGAAATAGAGCTATTCAGGTGATATAGACTCACATCAAAAATCCTAAAGAATCTGAGATTGTTACCTGTACATCGACATTGGTGTCGTAGGTAGAACAGAACTCTCTTCCTTTCTCATTAAAACCTCAGTGTTCTGTTGAGTTTTGGCTGTTTTGCTTTTCTCAGATGTTTCATTTTCCTCCTCCTGTTCGGCTTCCATGTCAACAGTGGAAGACCCTGAGATATTAATTAAGTAGAATCAGAATCAGTGAGAGAACTTGTGATTACTAGTAATGAAAACTCAGAAGCAGAGAAGATAACCATCTTTGCGGCCGAATGCGTTCTTACACCCTTCACATCTACAGTTTATGGAACATCCCACACCACCCTGTAAAGAAACATCAGATCAAATTATAAGCATCAGACCAAAGGAGGTTAACCAGATAGATCCATAGGAAGATAAGAACAAAAACCTGAAAGCATTCGCAGTATTTCTTCAGACAGTTTGATTTCTTGCAGTTGCAGCCACGTTTATGGCGTGCAGAAGCTGGAGTTTTGCTTGCATCATCCTGTGTGTCATTTCAATCTTTATCATCCCTTCAAGAAAGATAAATGGATGGTGGAGAGGAATAAGAGAACCGGGAAAAAAGGTTCTTACCCCGGTTTCTATAACCGAATCAGAGCTCCTAATGACTTTAGGAGCAAATGCAAGTGGGTTCCGAGATTCAATCTGTTTGCGAGTAGCCAAGACAGTATCTTCATGAATGGGCTTGTTGAAGCAATCTATACATGAACATGGCTCTATGCAATAGACACCAGCAGCAAAGCATTCACAGTAACTGCACCACAAACATCAAGAGACTCAAAAACACCAAACTTTTTGAATAGCTAAAGAATCAAAGAAGTGAAACTTACAGTTTCAGACACTTGGACTTTTTGCAGTTGCATCTCTTACATGACTCGCCTTCCCCAGCTTCCAACTTAAGCCTGTGTATTCACAATGTCCAACTGTTATTAAAACAGAGAACAAGAAACAATAGGAAAGCTGTTTTTTCTAAGGAGAAACAAACTTGCCTCTTCTTCTTAGGGCTGCTCAAATGCAACTCTTCCATGGCTGGTTCAACGGGAACATCTTGATCTGCATCTTCCGGGGTTTCGTTTTCTGTTTGGATCACCAAAGATTCTTGCAGTGTAGAGCTGGAGCCTTGTAAACCCACTTGTATATTACCGGAACACGAGTCTTTTGAGGACATTAAAATGGCATTTAGATGAAGACCAATACTCGGTAAAACACATCTCGACGAGGATCCACAAGCCGAGGTGTTACTCTCACTCGACGTTTGCTTATTCCCAGGCATCTCAAAGTCCAAGCAGCGTCTTCTTATACCTCGGTGCAAGAATGAAACAGCCTATCACACACAGACACCAAGAAGACAACTCTTTCAGACACATTGATCATTTTACAAGACACTGAAGGTAAACTAACTGAGATGTTAGAGCTAACCTCACAAGGAATCGCATCTGAGGACTCCGGTTCATTTTTTGAGCCGGGCTGCATCTTTGGTATCTCCACACCAGAGGTTGAAGCTCTCTGCATCATAAGGCATCTAAAAGCCTCTGAATCGTTTGGTGAGCCAAAGATTAACAGTTCAGAAGCATCTGAAATCAAACTTTCCCAATCCGGAGTTTCGTTTTTCCCTTGAACATTTTCATCATACATCTTCTGCAGCTCCATTCCTGAAGCATCCTCAGATGAACCATTCTCTCCTCGAGGAGGAGAGTAAGGAACAAGCGAAAGATCGACTGTCTCTCTGCCACACGGTGAAGCAGCAACGGGATCATCACGGTCGTACTTGATGATTTGTGGCAGCTCCATTTCAATTGAAGCTTCTTCTCCAATGGAAGCATCTCCTGCTTCTGCTGCTGCAACTTCTTCATTAGAAGTAGATTCTTCCACGGGATTGGTAGGATCTGAAGAAGAGTTGTGAGTTTTGAAGAATCGAGATTCTTTGTGAGAAGAAGTTAGGTGTGGTGAGGTGAAAACAGAGGGAGGGGAAGTGAAATTCAGAGAGCTGAAATGGTGAGGAATTGGGATGGATTTGACAGGTCTTATTGGAGACAAACTGTTTATGTAATTGAACAGTGGAGAATCCTGCATTTTCAGATAACAACATTAACAACAAGAAAAAAGGGGGAAAATTATGAAACTTTTCTGAAATTAAGGTAAGAGCAAAGATCATAGATCCCAATTAAGAATCTTAAGAAACAGTACAGACCCAAAAACAAAAGTACAGATTTTGTAGAGTGAACTGTGTTGACAATTGAAACCGTCAAAAGTAAAACAAATCTAAAACCATTGTGTTGTGTCTGAAACTAACTGCTTTGACTTCAATGAAAACCATAACAAAATTGAGGAAACAAAAAAAGTCAGATTTTTTTGTAAAAATTTATCCACTAAACCTATGAAATCTGCATTTTCTTTTACGAGATTCAGAGATGGGCACCATTGAAACATGAACAGAGAAATATATTTATATAAAAAAGGACTAAACTTTGACCAAAAACAATAAATGGGTGTTCAAAGAAAAACCTCGAATTTGGATTTGGAAATTGGAGTTCCGATCTGGGTAATACTCTTCTGAGGCGTATCCATTTTCAAACACACAAACAAAGAAAAAAAAATCACATCCACACTCTCTCTTCTCTCTCTCTCTTATCTCTGAAGAAAGTCTCAGACTTGACTCACTTTCTCTCTCTCTCTCTCTCTCTCTCTCTCTCTCTCTCTCTCTCTCTCTCTCTATTTGTTAGTGGAGGAAGATGAAGGAGAGATTCAAACAAGAGCAAAGGCGGGAAAGGAAGATATTGTCAGAAGAGACCCACCACTTTGTCTTTCTCCTAACACACCTGTCTCTCTTTCTCTGTATATGTATACACAAGTGTAAGTATCTCTCTCTGGTCTTTGTGTATAAGTGAATAATATTGAATCCTTGATGCTTTGCTTTGTCTGCAATCAAGCCTAGTAATATACACTCTCTCGATTCTTTCCTTTTAATAAAGTAACGGACACTAGTATTTTTTCTTTTTATTTTTTTCCTTTTTTCTCCTTTTTATTTTGTTTTATTGGAAGAAAATATATTACAATAAATAAATTATTGCAGGAATTACAGTTCCATTCACGGCTTCTATTTTGTTTGCATGCAATCATAACTTTCCTTTCTTTTTTGTTAACTGGTATTGTACAATCCACATTGTCACTAATAAAGTTATGATAACTGGTGGTAATGAACAAGTCTTTTACTCTCTTTTTTTTAGTATTTTCGGTCAAAATATAGATTTGGTATAACAATAACGTCTTACCCGAAATAGTCGTCATCCACGTTTTAATATCATAATTTCAAGAGTCGATAACAATAATGTTGCACCCAAAACTAGTCATGGACGCTTATTTTATTTTATTTTTGTCAAAAACTAACATGCACGCTTATTAGGGGAGAATTCGTATAGAATGAAAAGACTGACAGAGAATAGTTAACAAAAAAATATCAATGAAAAGGAGCATTATAAGGCTGAAACAGGGAGAATTATATATCTAGATATCCGTAAAAGAAAGAGCCACTGAATCTGCTAATCACAAGAAAGCGCTAATGACTAATTATGACTATTCAGTTAGAAATTAATTGGTCAATTATTCAGAAGAATAATACTAATTAATTGGAATCAAATTCAAAAGAGTTATAACGTTCGATAAAATCAAGTACATTATTGCATAAAATTACGTCGGCTTTTTCTTGCCATAAACATTCTTGTACCAATCTTTTAAATTATCCCTCTTATAATTACTTTATAACAATGCCTATAACAGTCAAATAGTTATGATTTTGCATCTACTAAAATTAGTTTTTAAAAAAAAAAATTAAGTAGCTGCATTTGTGTTCAATGTTTGTAACTTTTTTGTATTCCATAATTGTTTGCCATGTGATCATTAGCTCATCAAAATCCGCTATTTATATGGTTCCGTGGACAAAAAAAACAAATAAAGTTTCATGTACGACTACAATATTCACATTTGCTCATAAAATAAAAGTTAATTAATGGTTTGATCGGTAACATAAAACAGTAACAAAGGTAGAAAAACGAAATGAAATGTTCAAAAAAAAAAGGTAAACAAAGAATAGTAAACATTTGCATCACTTTGCTTTTGTTCCGCTTTAGCTTGCCGTTTTGACGATTGTTCACAATAAAAAAACGGTACCCATCTTACCACAATGATAAAGAGTAATTACAACTTACAAATTTACACCCAAAATTTTCACTGTGATCTAGAACGAATTAGATATATGGTCATAAAGATACATAGAGCCGAGCTATGGTATAGTAAAATAAATTTTCTTGTTTCCACCAAAACCAAGATATATTAATAAATACCACACTTTTATTTTTGGTATAGCCAAACCCAACACATGCCTTCCCCGTGACGCCTTTAAAGTTAAAAGCCCTAACAAAATTTAATATAAATTCGCCGGTGGGGTTACGTTTTGTTACTACGTGATTTTTTCCTGAAACTACATTTATATCCCTGTCCATATCTTGGAACCATATTGTTGTCCCATGGGTGTTTTCGGAATTGACGAAAATGACAGCTATGCGTTATGTGACATTGGGCGGGAAAAATGATAAAAGGAAAGTGATATTTTTATTGTAGGCTGGTGTTTAAACTTGTTATGGTGCACTATTGAGAATGTGGGATCTGATGGATGATAAGTAAGACACGTGGATGGATGTCTTTCGTCTTGCCTTGATGATGACTAATTTTTGACTTCGCAAGTTACGGTGTACGATCGATCGTCGAACTACGTGGACTTGTAACCCAAGATCTTGTGTCCACCCATGTTCTTTTGCTTAGGTGTAAGTGACACGCGAAACAACTTCGTATTTGTTCGACTTGTTTGTTGTTGACTTGTTTCTCGTGAGAACTATTAAATTGTATGTTTCTTTTTGGTAACCTTGGTGAACTAACTATGCTCCATCGAACCGGTTCATTTGGTTCTTAAACCGTTGAAGAACCAAATGACACACCAGCAGTCACGATTATCCCTGTGCAACAAAGTTGTTTTTAGTAGGAGTTATATTAGGAGAGAACGAGTTTACACCTTGCTCCTAGACACCGACCATTAATTAGGTCACAACCGTTGGGCACTGTATGTTATTTTCTTGTGCAAAATAATTTTGGGTAACTCTTCTTGTTCAAAAAAAAAAAATCAATAATTATTGTCTAATTTCAGAAGGATTTATCGATAGCCCCTTTAAATTTGTTGAAACACTCGATCAGTAGTTGGTAAAGATGTAAAAGTCATATTCACATTTATGAAACTATATGAAACTAAACGAGTTAGTTGGTTTGAAGACTTAAAAGTGTGAACTTACAATTCGGTATGTTGTCCGGTACGGTGGTTGGTTTGTTTTTTTTTCTTGTTTTTTAAATGTCGGTTAACCACATGATGCTTTGCATTCTTGAGAGCCAACTCACGAATCACGATCAGATTTTAGAATCTAAACTTTACTTGTTTCTTTGAAAGAAAAAATTGATAATTAAACTGTTCAAAAAAAAAATGGTATATTTACCCTGTAACTGTAAGATTTGCTCAAAATGCATATGAATCCATAATTTTAATTTTTGTTTTTTTTATATTTGGATCGATATAAAACTCAATTATGATAATATATTAAATAATCTATATTATATTAAATTTCATATATTTTTCATTATAAAATTGACCCCGGTAAAAACTGTAGTTCTGCCACTGTTTATGTTTTTGTTATATAGGACCCGCAAATTATTCGGAACGAATGAGTCTACAAATTAAAAACATTCTTAACTCTTTTTTTTGGCCAACAAACATCCTTAACTACAATTACAAAAAATGGTGAAATGTCAACATTATGTATAGCTAAGATAATATAAAGAGCAGGAAACTAACTAATAAATCATGCATAAATTTTATTGTTATATAATGACTTATTGTTATCTCACATAAGAGATTTTTTTTCTACCCCAACTGATGAGTTAGGTAGGTTGTCAGGTTAAATCCAATCCTTATAAATGTCAAAAATATGAAATAAGTGATATAAGTCTCAACTATTGGCTTGCGGCCAACTACTGCATTCATTTTTCTTCTTTTTTCTATATATATATATATATATCGGTGACTAAATTCAAATCCATGCACGTTCCCGTAAACAAAATATGCATTTGAATGAATAATCTGTTCCATGCACGTTCCCGTAGATAAAAGATGCACTTGGATAGTTGGATGAAGAATCTATATAGTCAAATGAGTGAAACTCCTAACTGTTCACATCACTATTGTAAAGCTCGTTGGTACACACATGTACAGATGTACTGATGCCAATATATACATGATTTTGCAAATCCATGTAATGCATAAGGCCGTCTCCAACGGAACGCGATAATGCTAGTGTGAAGCTCTCTCCAACCGGATGGTATATCTGACGATAAACATTTTTTTGGTGTTTTATGAACAGTATCCCACTATATTTGGTGTAACACTGTTAATATTATTTTTTATTTTCTTTTCCATTTGATAATATAATTAAATTAGTGTTTATCAGATGCTTAAATGTTGTAAACATTTAGTTCTTATTTAAAACCATTTTAGTACAACATATTCATAAAGCCAAAAAATCAAAACTAACAAGCAAATATTTAAATTATGTAATCAAAATTATATTTTAAAAAAAAATTATAGTTAAGACAAAGATATAGTATGATATATTAAAATTCTTTTTTAAAACCATTAAAAATTTTAGTATAACATATCCATAAAGTCAAAAATCAAAACTAACAAACAAATATTTAAATTATGTAACTAAAATTATATTAACTGAACACTTGTGTCCGAGTATACTAATTGCGTTATAACAAAATACGGGCAGATTATTGTATAAATTAGAGTCCCCAAAGTAAAAACATATGGAGAGAGGCAAAAGCACATTCTTGGCATATAGAAGCATGCTAAAATCATAGTGTCGACCAAACATGCTGCCTGCAAGAGCACGTGTCTAGATGACACATCACGTGACCTAAACACACATAAAAACAATATATTAAATATTTGGTTAATAAGAAGAGAAAGAAAACATATTAACATCAAACAGAAGACATACACATTGAGTCTTTAACTAAACAAATTTTAGTAGATAAGCAGGTCCTTTAAAACTCGTATATTGTAAACTTATTTGTTCAACTTTTAGTGGATGTCAGGTTGCTTGATACTTGATTGCAGATTAGTCAGAGACTAAGAAAGACTACAAAATAAATAATTATTACAATTCGATTATTGAGTCAGGATCCTCTCTAAATGTTTCTCACAATGACAATAAGAAAAGGCCAACGTTACTAAAGTCATTATTTAGCTCGTATATGTTTGTGCGGTGAATCTTTAATTTACTTTTTATCATTTTTCTTTCATCCATAATCCCTCGAATAATTTCTCGGTATGTATATGCGACTTCTATTAAATATAATATTGTACTCGATTGTCAGATTTTGTAAATTATTGATTTCATTTGAGGGGAGATATTTTATTGAAAAAGGGATTTATTGATTTTCGAAGAATTCGCAGATGAACAGCT